AGGTTTAGTGCATCTCTCTCTCTCTCTCTCAGTCTCTCTCTCGCTCGCTCTCAGCAACTTTCGAATGAGGAAGAAGAGGAATGGAGAAAATGAACGAAACCCTTCCCCTGATCTGCTACTCTCTATTTTTTTTAAAAAAAAATCTGATGGGTAAAATAGTAATTTTAATGAAAACAAATAGCAAAATAAAAATCCTTTTCTTGCACTGAGAGGGTTCGAACCTTGGACCTATCAGCTACTACTAAACTAACTCTTCTTCTTGATAATCTTGATCAAAAATTAATATAACTATTATTAAAGCACCAACTTATATATATATTATATATATATATTATTTTTTTTTTCTGGGCTATTACATCATACAAGCACCTTACTAGTTAAGTGTATATGGCACATCAAGGGCTAACAAAACTGCCGTTAGTAACTAGTATTCTGAACTTTCCTTAATCAAAATCAAAATGCATGGATCTAAACATATACTTTAAAAATCATTCTTTTCAAAATATAAGATTCAATTGTCAATTTCCCTTTTCAACATCTCTTTTTATATGCATGAATCATCGTAAAAATTGATTTCAAACCAAATATAAAATTTAAACAATAGGATTATTTTGAATAAATAATCAATTTATTACATATTGGATAAAATAGCATAATTTCTTGATAAAATAGAAGAATTTCAGTAATATTCCATTTGAATAAAAATAAGCTAAATAGGGAGAGCTATATAAATCATAGAAAAAATAATAGCAAAGACTTTAAATAAAGTATTAAATAAAGATAATTTAAAAAAATTTAAGATAATTGGGACGCACTCATGCACCTAAGGGATTCCCAAGAATTCTAAAGCTTACTTCTCTTAACTTTATACTTTAATTCTAATGATGCCCTTAATTTAATTTCCTGATAAAAATCACAATTCTAAAGTCATTTATCAAGCAATTTTTCAAGCACTTAGTGAGCATTTAATATAATTCAAACAATATTAAAGATAATATTCTAACCAGTTATGTTTCAAATATACTTGAGTTAGTTAAACCTTTGATAACTCTCAATTCATCATCATATCTCCTTGTAAATTATTCTCAACTATAAGTCACTGAACTATAAATTTCAAATAAAATCTCAAATCATTAAACTATCATAGCAAATGATAATATCACTTGATTTCAAGAAAGCACATAAATGAAATAAATATTTATAAACAAATTTCTAAATAAAAACCAATAGAATATGAACTTATCAAATGATTGGATTCATAATTATAGGGACTTATCAAAACAATTAACAAACGTAGACATACAGTCCACAAGAGTAAATAACCAAACGCAACTTATGCCACGAAAACAAACGTGGACACATAGTCCACGAGGATAAGTAACCAAACGCAACCGAAGCTACGAAACAAACGTGGACACACAGTCCACAAGAGTAATGCTAACCAAACGTGACTCAAAGCCACAAAATCAAACATGAGTACGATACTCATGAATAACCATCCCTTCATTCCACATGCGTTGGCCATCGCACGAGGCTAGCACCTCCTATAAGCAACCTGCTAGCTAGGTGAACCATGGCGCGCCAAGGGCTAAAGGAACTGCCGTTAGCAACTAGTGTTCTTATAAAGTCCCCTTTAAATCCATTTTTAAACATGCGAAAAAATCATCACTTTCACAATAAAATTTTCATTTTCAAAGTCAAACTTGCATGAATCATTCTCTGTATCAATCCAATGTTTTGTAGAATGAAATTTCATAATCAAAGTCCAAACTTATATTTATTAATTAATTAAAAAACTGATAAAGGTAATTTCACAAAATAAAGAAGTTTAATAAACAAACTATTCAATAACCACATCATTGTTACTAAGACAATTTTGCATAAAAATGTACTATTGTAGTAAAAGAAATCTTTATTGAAAAATCAGTTGGGACGCTATCCACTTACCTATAGAATCTTCAAAACTCAAAATTCATTACTTACAACTCCAATCGAGCTACCTTCCTTACAATTACCCTATAAAGTATAATAAGATTTTAGTGAACTTTACTTTCGAATCAACAAATCTCTTTAAAGGGAATCCATTCAACAACAACAACAAAAAAACTTCGAAATTTTAGCAACAAAATTTTATCCATTAAAGTTTTTCCTTAGGCTTTTTACCAAGCATCTAATGTACAACATTCCAAACCATTAAATAAACATATAACCTTTAATTCTCTTGACTAACCATTTCCAAACATCCAAGTATGACTTCTAAATTGATAATACACCTTGTACACTCTTGAACCTTATAACTCAATGATTCTAGAGCTTAGATAAGATCTCAATAATTCCTTTAATAAACTCCTTTGCAAAAGTCCAATTTAGATTTATAGGTAATAATGTTTAAGTACTATCATTTATGTCACTAATTTCCTCCATAATGCTTTAGCCATATCAACCTATTTACTTGAGATAATATCTTCTCTTCGGTATATTGTTTCCAACCATACAATTAGAATTTTCTAACCTATCATATTTTATGCAACACTTTATTAATAACCATTCTATCCCCAAGAATTTAAAGTCACATACAAATTCATAATAATTAAATTCCTTTAATTTGTAACCTACAAGCTAAATTCATGAATCAATAACACTGAAATTAAATGTATCTATCACAATAACTAATCAAATTTCATAAATCTAAGATATTCAAGCAAAACTCTCATAGAGGCATTTTATTAAATACCTATCATCCATTAATTCTCAGATTAACACCAAACCTCTTCCCCTTAAATCTTATTTCCTACAAATTACAAAATTGATATTGAACTTAATCAACCAACCCAATTTTGATTCTTTAACAGAAAAAAATTCAATTGGACCTTACAGAAAATTAAATCTAATTCCTTTTCTTGAACATAAACACAAGTGCATTTGTCTACCAAAAATCACACTCCTAGGACTAAATTTTCAGCTTGTTTAAATCCCATTACTCCTCCTCTTTATGCATAGCAACAACAAGAAATAAGTCACAAATCAACCACATAACACACTCACATATTTAGCGAGAAGGATAAGACCCAAAACACCCATCTCAATCAGCGAAGTTAGCAGCAGGATGAGGAAGTTAACTAAGCAAAATAGAGTATGAAACTGACACACCCATGGCTACCCACACTTGAACACAGTGACGACATTGAACCAAGAAGAAACAAGGGAAGCCATCGCACGGTCAAGGAAGAGCAGAGGAGGAAGAAGATCTCAAACCCACAACAGTACCTGTGACAGTAGTGGACCAACGGAGGGAAAGAAGGATGAGCTCCACCCATTATCACCTAGACAACGCCGAAGGAGGGAGAAGAAGGAATCAACGATGAAGCCTGAGCAAGAAGTAAGTAGATCGACTTGAACAGCTTTCTTATAGCAGTAAACTCTGGTGATCTGAACACAGCAGCTAAGGAAGAAGAAGATGCAAAGACCAAGCACACTTCATCAACAGTGAGCAAAAATCGATAGCAACCAGAGACAAGGGAAACGAGAAGCAATGCCGTTTCATGACAGATCCTCAACGGAGAAGAAACAAGCAAGCTCAGTGGCGGACATATGACAAAAGAAAAGGAAAGATGCAAGCCAACGATGGTGAGAGAAGAAATGAAGAACAACAGCGAGGAGGAGATGAGTAGAGAATGAACGAAAGATTTCTCTAACTCTCGGTGGTTCTGAATTTTTTGAAAATGCCGAAGGAGAAGGAAAAAAAATGAGGCAGTGCATGCGTATTGATCGAGAAAGAGAATATAAATCTGAACTTTATGAAATTGCAAAAATTACAAAAGAGGGCCTAAAATTTCTTCTAATAACATAAAAGACATGAATACTTTGGTAATTTTCCTATAATTTTAAACTAAATAAAATTAATTTATTACTAACAAAAATTAAAACTTTTGACCTTCAAGTAAGCTATTAACATAAGTTCTAGCAACTCACCCTTCCATTTTCCATAAAACTAATTTAAAGAAAATATAAATTAGGAGATTTTTTTTGGACATCTGATAAAATAGAGTAAATTTACAATTTAAGGCTTACAGGATGTGTGAAATAGTTCACATTCCATGCCGATCACTCTCCAAATTTTGAGGCGTGATAGATTACCTCATCATGCAATAATATAGCTTAATATTTATGAATTGTGACATCATGCAATAATATCATTTTCTAAGTGGCTGCCTTTTTTCTTTGTATCAGTACGTAATATTTTGAGAAAAAATATTTACAAATTTGCCCAAGTCTCTCTTTATCAATATTATAGCTCACAACTTGTTTTAAATTTAGATAATATATATTTATTTGCTTTAAATATTTATCTTTTGTTATTTGATATTGCTTAATTATTTAATTGCTTGTTGTATCGCAAATATATGTATCTAAATATTTAATATTTGATTATTTATATAGCTATAACCATATCCTAAAATTTTAAAAATTTTTTGTATCTGCATATCATGCCGTATCGTATTTGATACTCGTATCCATATCAGTGCTTCATTGACCACAGCAGTATGCAGTGCCTGAAAGGGAATTTACTGAAAAAACATGAATTAACAAAGTGTAGGGACATGGAAAGCCATAAACAAGTTAAATGATTGAAATTAATTTTCCGACAACACTAATAAATTAAATTCAGTATATACAAGCTAATTCTTATTGAGAACAAATTCAATATCCTTATAGAAAATGAGGATAAGAGTTTTAAATGAACCCTCTTTGAATTTGTAGTTACTAACCAACCATGATGTTTCATTCTAAAAATTCGGCTTGACATCTAAATTTTCTGGTTGAATGAATTGTTGAATCAAAGCAGTCTTTTTAGAAAGACGCTCATCAAGCTTTACATAATCCGTAAGTGAAGCAAATACACTGATAAATAACTTCGTCATGACATACTTCTCCAGTCTCTGCACATGAGTTAAACCCATAGCTAAAGAGACAAAAAAATAGATGAAGCCAACCAATTTTGTAACAGAAGAAAAATAAACCAGCAACCATTCTGCAACTATTGTATGAATTAATTAACACGTATTAGATACACCCACTCGCTTGCTATAGTTACTTTGAAGTTTGAAATCACACTAAGAATTGTTCGAAGTCTTTATGGGAAAAATAGAAATCCTATAACTTGTCATTATACATACCAAAAATAAAGGAATACAGAGGACTGGGTTGTGAATGGATTAATGTTACAAAAAAATGAAAGAGACAACAAATCATGTTTGTGATAAAAATCATATAAGAGAAATAGATTTATATATGAGCCCCTGACCAAAATTTGTCCAATAAAGTAAATAAATAAACAACTAATACAGGAATATACACCTAACAGGGTATACCCTATCTACCTTAAAGAGTGCACATTGCATCAACCAAATGGACAAGAAAAGTCCTCAGTCACTGCACTTGAAAATAGATGGGAAAATCTAATTAGTATTGCCCATATCTAATCCCTTCAAGTAATAGGTAAATGCAATACTTCTCTACAAAACAAAATGAATCTAAAAGAAGGAAAAAAAAAAATACCAACCAACGAGTTCTAACCATATAGAATATTGCTCTCAGATTCAATTAATGATCCCATTCCTTGAAATACCAACCAACATATTCCTTTCCTCCCAAGCAAATTCCACTCTTCCTCCAATATTAAGAAAGAAAAAAGGAAAGATAAACTTAATGAACTAAATAGAAATCAAATAGCTACAAAAAAAGCCAATTATTTAGGATTAACGAGAGAAAGTAGAGAAAGATCATATCAATATTTTTCTGCAAGTAAATAACTAATCATACATTGCATCAAGAATAGTAAATATTAGGCATTTTTCAGAACAGAAATCGTAATATTTACTGCTAAAAGTTAAAATCAGTTTATTAAATATAAACATAAATATTGCTCACCACCTAAGCCAAAACAAAAGAAGATCAATGCCTTCAAACCACCAAGAGGAGCAGCCAAGAGAAAACCAATCAAACCACTAAGGGACCATGGAGGGCCGGAAAATGCAGATCGGAATGGCAGATCGAGCATGCCATTCAATTTCTGGACAAGGCAACTGTTCCACGACACAGAACTTGGGGGTGAGGGTGCCGAGTTTGATGGAGGCGGGCTGTTTAAGGTCGAAGCTGAGAGGGAAGGGGACATTGGGGTTTAGTACTAAATATTCTGACAAGTTGAGACGAAACGACATGGATTCCGTGAAGATTCGGTGCTTGGTGACAGGGATTTGTAGATCTGGATCCTTCAGCGATGGAGTGAGCTCAGTTGGGATGGCGTCGACGGCGATGCGTTGCTCTGGCGAGATGCTTCAACTTGTGCAACGGCGTCGGTTGTGGCATAAATGGCCTGGACTTCGAAGAGAGAGGGGGAGACGATGAAATTTTGGGGTTCTGTTAAATGGAATGGGTATCCGATGGGGTTTTTAATTAATATTTTGTTTAATTAAATGGAATGGGTATCCGATGAATTTTGAAAAGAGCTCCTACATATTGTAGATTTTGAAGTGTTTTTTTAGAGAGTACTCCGAAACGTTACACACTATTTTTCAGAGCGCTTTTTACATAAGCACTCCAGAACCAGAATGAGTGTTTCCATAAGCATATTTTGCTGTAGCATCTTCTCATTATCCTTTTCCTTTTCTTCTCATCCCATTCTCACTCTTGAATTAAAAATTTAATAATTGAGATTTAATCAAATTTATTTTTTATTTTAATTATAGCCTATGATTAGTTTATAGTTGTGAATTTCCCATATTTCTGTAGCAAAACAGAAGATGCCTATTTCTTGCTATGTAACTAATGGAGATGCATGGAAATAGGATGCTTGTCATTTATTGCCTCCAACTATCTCAGATCAAATTCACAAGGTTAACATTGATGTCCCTATAGTAGGTAGCCTATCACGCTCTTAGCATCTCAGACCACATGGTGACTTTACAGTTAAATCAACTTACAAGACCACACAAGTAGTAGGGGAGACAAGGGGGCATGACCCCCTAACTTTTTTAATTTTTTTAATCACTACTATAAAAAATACCTATTAGAGCGCCCGTATAAGAGCGTTTATTAAAAAAACACTCTGAAAAATGAGGCGAAACTTACCGAAGTGTAACATCCTAAAAATTTTAAGACTCAAATTTATTTAAAAAAATAAATAAAAATAAAATAAAATATCTATAATTAAATTAAAATTTAGAATAATTTAATAGAGGCTCAGAGTTTGAATTTTACTAAGTAAAAGTTTGGTTTTATTTGATTTTTAACTATGGAAAAAATTACCAAAATTGACCTGGGCTTTTGTGTAATAATAAAAAATATTGGGCCCTTTCTTGTAATTTTCCCCAAACTTTTTGACCAGCAATTTAAAGGCCAAAACTGATGCAGAAACGCAGAGAAAATGAGCAAGGAAAGAAACGCACAAACGGGAGAGAGAGAGAGAGAGGAAGAAGAGAAGAGAAAGGAAGGGAGTTAGGCTTGGATCTAGGAGTCTTTGCGACCGTTGCGAGCTCGGCTACACGATAGGTAAACTTTCTACTTCAATCCTCTTCTCTTTCTCTTGATTTTCTTCAATTTTTGGAAGAGAAAATTTTTGGATTTTGATCCCAAAGGCTTTATTCTTGTAAGCTTTTGTTTCTTTGGATCCTAGGGAGTATGTTTTGAGTTTCTATATAGTGATCTAATGTTTTGAGTGGATAATTGGATGAAAAGAGGTGTTTTGGGCACAAAATAAACCCTGAGAAATTGGGTTTTTGCTCCTCAATGGTTTAAGCTTATTGATTTAGTTATAATTTTGCTATTTGAGCCCAATAAGATTTAAATTAAGGTTTGGTTTTCATTATAAGGGCTAATGGTGAAAGTTAGTGACACTAAGTGAAGGTTTTTAATTAATTAAAAAATTATATAAATTGAAAATTAGTCTAGTGATGGCTAATAAATGGTTTTGGTGGTAAAGTGATACTATGTGAATGGTTGATTTAATATATGGACCATTAAGGTGGATTATGACTCATTGACCTAAGTTGTGTGGTATGAGTTATAGTCTTCATTAATGCTATTTGTCATGATAAGTGATGTGGATCACTTATATGTTATAGAAAATTGTTGGTGAAACTTATTGAGAAGTAAGGAACAAGCCGAGCCCTATTTTGTACAAGGAGAACCCTTTTGGTACCAAAGGGTTGAGGTAACAGGGAAATTTATATTTCTTATTACTTTGTTTTAGCTATTTTTGAATAAATATTACTAGTTATCATGCATTACATGTTTTAAAAGATTAAATGTGCTTTATAAAGGGTTATGGGGTACTACTTTGATTATAGTGCAAATATGTTTTCTAATTGTTTAATAACAATGTTTTTATGGAAATGAGATTTATAAATATTATACTACTTTAGAGTGTTGAATGGTCAATACTCAGGAAAGGTAGATAAGAGTAAAAGGCATGATCTCGGTGGGAGTTCACCAATGAGAAGGTGTGGATTTTTGATATTTTATGGCACACTGTCAGTACTCAGTGTTGTCTTACGTATTGTGGGCTCAGTGCACTAAAGTGATTAGTGTATTGAGTGTTCGACACCTCTCAATGGGGGAGGGAATCCAACATATGAAGTGTGAGGTTGAATGCCTAGGCCAAGGTAGCCCTCACATGGAAAGTAAGTTGGGCTGGCTCTGGGAGGGGAGTTAGCTTCAACTGCTTAGGATTCACGTCGAAGGGGCATAGGAGGTTCGGTGGATTAGATCATGCCTTAGATTATGTTTTGTGCCTGTGGAGGTACAAGTAGGTATAAGGTTTACCTGCGAGTTAAAGAGTGCCAGGGGGCATTCTGTTGGTCATGAAAGGCCATACCGGCCTAGGTCATACATTCATGCATTTTAAATGGCTAAATTATATACTATGTTGAATTTATTATTTATTTATTTGATTACGGTTTACTTTGTAATAATCAATGTAGATTTCACTGTTACTGAGACTGTGGTTGTCTCACCCCTTTCTTTTCAATATTCTAGGTCCAGGCGAAGGATCCAGTGGTGGACGAGGAAAGGAGCAAAGCTAGGGGTTTGCTTGTGATTTGTAAAGAACTGCAACCCCTTTCTTTTGAGCAAATATATTATAATGTATTTAAGATTAGGGTGCCAGTAGGATATGATTGTGTGTGTGTGTGTGAATATGTGTGGATTGTGTGCTTGTGTATGAATTTTTGTCTGTTTGCAGACTTGTGGCTAGGAAACTTGGTTATGATGTGTGGTTTTGATGGATTTACTTAGTAGACCAAGTTTCTATTACAAGCAGATCTTTATTTTGATATATATATATATATATATATGTGATTTTATAAGCAAATGCAAAGTGGTTGCATTGCAAATGGTGTGTTATGGGCAAACATACAGCTTGGATAGAGAGAGTGGGTGCGTGGGCCCCACAAGGAGCTCTGAGCCAAGTGAAAATGTTTAGCATATGTATTTATATAAATACATGGTATTTGGATTGATTTGTGACCACTCTTGTATGGTTTGTGCATTTTGGGGGTTTAGGGTCCATTTTGGGAAATGGCACCCAGGTGGTCAAATTTTGATGTATGGGGTTTTTCCATCATTTGAATGTTCTATCAGGTGTTTTTAATCATATTTGATGTGTCCAAAGTGTTCCCACAGGTTTGTGACCATTAGGATGAGATTTGGACAATTTTGAAAATGGTTTTTACTAAAAAGCTGCACTTTTGCATCTGGGTGTCTAAATCTTAATCCGACCGTTGGATTTCTCTAAAATTTGGGTCACAAGTAAAACCTTTTATAAGCTTCGTGTGGGCTTTGGAATCACATCGATCAGATATCGGACGGAGAAACGACGCACTTCGAAATTTGGTCTGGAGGTGCTGTCATGACAGCATTAAATTGCTGTCATGACAGCTATAGTATTGATTTTGTAATCTACACAAAATTCAATCCGTTCGTTGGATCTTTTCAAAATTTAGTATGCTAATAATATTCTTTGAAAGTGACATGTGGGCTTTGAAATCACTCCGATCGGAGGTCAGATGATGAAATGGTGCACTCCGGAAGTTGGTCCGGAAGTGCTGTCATGATAGCTTTTTTAGCTGTCATGACAGCAAAAATAGTCAATATTTTAACATGTCTAATTTTTAATCTGACCGTTGGATCTTTTTGAAATTTGGTACACTTATAGTACCCTTTGAATGTGACGTGTGAGCTTTAAAATCACTTCGATCGGAGGTCGAATGATGGAACAGCGCCTCCTGGAAATTGGCCCAGGAGGGCTGTCATGACAGCAATAAATTACTGTCATGACAGCATCTTTTTATTCCATTTTCGTCTAGCTTGCTTCCGTGCACTATAGGTAGAACTTATAATTATTTTTAAGGTTTTAAATGATTTATTTCTTAAGTTGGTTAGAGGATCAACTCCTTAACCACACTTAGTTTGTTTGAATTATGTGATTTTTGGATAACACTCGAGACCTATAATTATTTTTAAGGTTTTAAATGATTTATTTCTTAAGTTGGTTAGAGGATCAACTCCTTAACCACACTTAGTTTGTTTGAATTATGTGATTTTTGGATAACACTCGAGGCAAGTGTTACACGAAGCACTTATTTTTTAGCGCTTCGAAAAGTTTAGTCTTTCAGAGCGCTTTATTTTATGACTTTTTGGAGCGTTTTTAAGATAAGCGCTCCAAAAAAACCTTTAATGTAAAATTTAATAATTTCTTAACAATTTAATATTTTTAATCATGTTAATATTAATTAGTTTATTATATTTTTTTATATTATCAGTTAATATATTATGATTATTTTAGATATTAAAAATAATTTATAAAATGTTAGATTATTATTTTATTTAATATCACACTTGTCTAATTAATTCATATTAGTTTTGTAAATTTATTATAATTTTAATGTTTAATTAAATTATTATTTGAAATACTATTTTAATTATTATTTAGTTTTCTAATTATTTTATATTCAATATATTTGTTATTTAATTAAATTAATAATTTAATATTAAATTTTAGTATTTATTTTTTTAAAAAATAACAGTTCTTTTGGAGCGCTTCACGTGAAAGCGCTCTATAAATTGGGCCTTCTGGAGCACTCCACAATGGAGCGCTCTAGATGGCTCCATGTTTTGGAGCGCTTCCATGCAAGCGCTCCGGAACATCAATTAAAAAATGAAAAAGAGAGTAGTCTTAATGATCTGTTCGGAACCCCAAACACGACAGCTTCCCCGTCTTCCTCAAAACTCTATTTCTCTCACTCAGGACCAAACCCATCTCCTCCTACGCCGTAGGACTTGAAGCTGCTCTGTTGCTGTTCCGTCAAGAGGCCGTGGCTCAAAACCATCTCCATTGCAGTTTGACGCGTCATCAAGATCTGCAAAAACCAGATCTGATTTATGAAGCATGACTAGTCGCTGCCCGTCTGTCAAGAGGCCATCCATCATTCTCTAGATCTTCTTCTTAGATCAAGGTCGGTTTTGGCGTGCAAAGAAGAAGCTCCACGAAGATCTT